GAGGCATGTTTATTTATTTATTTGTTTGTTTGTTTGTTTGATGGTTTGTTTATACAAGCACTGGGTACAGTCAGAAGCGCGGGAGGGTGAGAGAATTCACCAGAGCCAGAGCGGGGAGCAGAACAGGCAGAAGGACCGAAGTACACTGCTGAGGGGAGCAGCGGGCGGCAGGAGAGGTCTGCGCGCCATGTGGGACCCTCCTCTGGTGGCCGGGGAGCAGCCGGGGATCGAACCGGTGCCGCAGAGGCCGCGGGCAGCTTCGCAACCCAGCACTCAACCGCTGCGCCACCGGGGAGGCCCTAGCCTTGCTTCTTAAACACCACTTTCCAACCAGGTTATTACTGGGAGGAAGATGGACGCTGGGAGGCCCAGGGCACTGAGAGATGGAGGTGTGACATGTAAGGGAACTTGTATCAGAAGCGGAGGGTGAATTTCTGAGTCTGGATGAGACACAGGAGCAGCAGCCCTGGGTCCACTCAGGACGTGTTTTCCTCATGTCCTCATGAGGATGCTGTCTTGGCAGCTGGGTGTAGGCGTAGAGAAGACAGATGGTTGGGATGGCTGGACTGATCCAAAGTTGGGGGATTACCAGGTGGATGTGGCAGAAGGACGAGTGTGAGCACTCTGAGGAGCTGGCAAGAGCATGGCTGACATATTGCTCCCTGGAGCCTGTGCTGAATGGGGGAGGAAGGGAGCCAAGCCAAGAGGGAGAAGGGGCAGTGACTGGAGCTTGAGCTGGGCTGAGAAGGGGGTTATTGGAGTGGTTTCTGGACACTGAGTCCCAAGGTCTGATACCCAGCTCACGGGGCTGTGAGGGAGATGACGTCCTTGGAGCAGCCTGCAAGCTGTTATCTTAAGGACCAGAGACAGAGAGAAGACCTAGTTGGACCAGGCTGAAGAGGGAACTGTTTCAGGCACAGCTGACTACTGTTCAAATAAATGTGAAATTATGAAAATGAAGGGATCTTAGTGTTACTTGCCTGAGCAATCAGTGGCTTTTAAGGTCAGGAGATGAAGGTCCTTTTCTCCGCCCCAGCCTGGGTGGGACTCAAACCCACATGTTCTACCTTCCAACTTGGCAGGTCTCTCACCCTCTGTGATCTTCCGGAGGCTGGCAGGATGTCTGGCTGATTTGTTTTGGCTCAGGTCTTAGTTCTCTGCCTGCATTTAAGCACAGGGGCAGCAATGGAGTCTCACATTCCATTGCATGCTCAGTCACTGCTCAGGGCATTCCTTTTGATCAGAGTTTGTAGGAACAGTCCCTGTCTTAGGGTAGGGGTGTCGGCAGGGAGTCAGAATTTTCAATTAACATTCTTTCTTTCTATATTCTTTGGGATCTTCTTTCTTAGGACCTTTAAGCAAGCAATACTCTGGACATGGGGCATGTACTTTATTTCTAGAGCCTTTCTGAACCTGATTTCACAAGGAAGTTTCTCATAGATCACACAACTCTGGCACAGAGCAAAGATAGAACCCACTTAAAGGGGAGAATAAATTCTGAGCTGCCTTCCTGTTGATCAGGCAGCATGAATGTGAGCAGAAGGGATAAACATGTTGAGCCACAGCAAATATTAACAGAAATGAGTTTATCCTCCCCAGGAATATTTCACTAAGAAAGGCTCAGAAATGTCACTGGTGGAAATCAGTTCAACTGTATCTAGCCACGTTGTAATTTGTACTTTATTTTTTAAAGATTTATTTTATTTATTTATGCATATAAGAATTAAGATGTAGGTCAGAAGTGCAGGGGTGAGAGGATTCACCAGAGACAGAGTAGGGAGCAGAACAGGCAGACTGACTGAAATACACTGCTGAGGGGAGCAGCAGGCGAGACAGGAGAGGTCTGCTGTGCCATGTGGGTAGCTCCCTGGCCGGGGATTGAACTCAGTGATACAATGGCTGGTGACTACTTGATGGTGCTGAGACTTTAACCCCTGCATCACCAGGGAGGCCCACGTAGTTTTTACTTTAAAGGACAGAGTCAGCTTTGTAGCTTCAAACGCATCCTGCGCAGAAGGGGCACTGGAATCATCGCTGTTATTTCCAAGTAATTAAAATAGACCTGGCCAGTGAATAGCCTGGAAAACCAGACATTTGCAATTCTATTATTGCAGAACAGAGCCTTTTTGTGTAGCATTTTTCCACAACTGGGATCAGTTTGGTGACAATGTAACTTGAGTCAGTGACCACGGGTAGTTTCAGAGTGATCAGGAGAGCCTCTGGAGCCATACAGGGTTCCTCTATTTAATGTTCCATCAATAAATTCTTGCAATGTTGCTTCAAATGAAAAAAAAAAAAAAAAAGGGAGCCCCCCTGGCGGTGCAAGAGGTTAAGTACAGCACCATGCAGCTGTCCACAGCTCTGCAGCACGAGTTCTATCCCCGGGCATGGAGCTACCCACATAGTGCAGCAGACCTCTCCTGACTTGCCTGCTGCTCCCCTCAGCAGTGTATTTCAGTCAATCCGCTTGTTCTGTTCCCCGCTCTGTCTCGGGTGAATCCTCTCACCCCCACCCCCACCCTGCCCCCACACCTTTGGCCTGTACCTCAGTTCTTGTACTCATAAATAAATGTCTTTGGGAAAAAAAGAAAAAAAAATCTTGAGTCATTGTTACTACCATCACTTACCTATTTAGACTTGTTCCTGTCACTTTTACCAGGTGTTGTCACCTCTCCAAAAACAGAATGAGGTTTCTCCCACGACTACCAGATGCTAATACAACGCAGTTATGGCCATGTGGTCCAAAGTAAGGCTGCTAAAGAGAACATGTTTACCTCAAATCCATGGAACCTCTAAAAAACTTACTTTTGTTAGAGAGTACACATTTAGTTTATAAGGAAGTCGAAGTAAGACGTGCATACATTCTTTCCTCCCGTATTTTTAACCTTTGTGGCCAACTAAGGAATGTAAGGCTCGTCTTGTCTTCCGACCCACTGAGATGTTATCTTTCTCGTCCTCCCTGATTTCATTCTCGGCGTCACTCTTAGTTACCAAGTTGCTTTAGGTCTTTTTTCCCATGTCTCATTACGTGTAGCGGCGGGATGAGAAAAGGATTACTCAGAGTCCATGTGCAGAACAATGAGAGGCCTAGAGGGACTACACCATGAAGGGGCAGCCCAGCTCCAAGGGCAGTCTCGTTTTCATTTGGAATCAGACAAAATAAAAAAGGTCAAAGAAGCAAGCAGGCAAACAGGGAATGCACAAGTGTGTGTGTGGGAGATGGGGGGGATGCATAACCAGCTGGCCCCAGCCAAGTGTGGGAAATAGGGAGAACATTTCAGTGTTTATGCTACTCGAACCATCACACCTATTGCTGTTTCTACACGTGCTGTTTTCCACATGTACAGGTCCACACGCCAGTTCTTCTGCCCTGAGAGGTTCCTTATCTCAAACTTTCCCTGTTCCTGCACATGCTGTTTTCAGCATATAGCGATCCTCATACCAGGACTTTTGCCCTGAGAGGTTCCTTATCAGCTTTTCCTATTCCTGCACACTGAGAGGCACAGAATAGTCAAAGCAAAGAACAGTCAAGGCAAAGACAATAGTTGAGGCACACAATAATTCAAGCTCCCTCACTCCTGCAGCATCATATTTATCTATCAGTTAGAATTAGTTACTTTGGTTTCCCATTTTAACATTTCTAGCCAGAGTCACCCCTCTTAGCCCCCTACCAAAAGCAGAATGAGGAATGACAGTACCTACATTGGCTTCTAGATGCCACAACATATAAATTCCCCATGGAGCACTCTTCTGAATTGAGCAGGAAAATTTGCCTCTCTTTTCCTAAAGAAAACGAGTAGCTACTCCTTTACAGACTGACCGTGAGCTGGACAGGACTTGAAATTGAAATGTTACGGTCTTTTAACAATTAATTATAGGATGCAGGCACTGTGCAGAGATTTTACTGATTTTCTCCCTTCAGCCTCTTCAGTATCATATCTCTCAGCAAGCTTTTGGCTTCCAAAACTACTTTAAAAATTTGATCATGCATTCTTGTTTTTTATTCCAAAAATATCATCACACTGGGATGCTTTATATAAACATTTTCCAAAATTGTTTAGGGCCAAAACAAGTGTTTCTAAACAACTTTCACACAAGGCTTGCCCTTGGAACTAGTCCTTTAAAGATATCCTTTTAGGGACAAAAAGAGGGGTAATGGGCCTCCCTGGTGGCACAAAGGGTTAAGTGCAGCACTATGAATCCCCGGCCAGCCAGGAAACTGACCCACAAGGCACAGCAAACCTCTCCTGTCTCTTCCGCTGCTCCCCTCAGCAGTGTATTTCAGTAGATTTGCCTGTTCTGCTCCCCACTCTGTCTCTGATGAATCCTCTCACCGGCCCCCACACCTCTGGCCTGTACCCCAGTTCTGGTATGCATAAATAAATAAATCTTTGAAAAAAAGTGGGGTAATGCCTGGGTGTTTCTAATACCTAAAATGCTAAGATTTTATGCTGTAGGGTGGAATGGGGGGCCATAAGCAAACTCCTGTGTAAGGCATATGGGCAGATATCATTCCCTCACACAGCATTGGGAACCCTCTGTACTGCCTGCTCAATCTCTGTAAATTTAATTATGTTAAATTGGGAAACCAAAGTAACTAATTCTAAAGTTTATAATTAAGTTTATAAATAAAGTTTATAAATAAAAAAAGACAATGAGATTGTAATGAAAATCAGGTTGCCACGTGGTTCTCTTCACTAGTCAGTGGTGATGGCTGGAAAAGTTTAAAGGTGATCATGAATAACTAACTGGCAGTGAGCTTGCTCTCCAGTGTGCTGGGAGAAAGGGGAAGTCATATAGGTGTGAACAGGAGGGGCTGTCTGACCTTAGCAGGCTGACAGGACATGACCTTAGCATGACCTTAGCAGGCTGACAGGACAGACTGGAGACAGCAGACTGCTCAGGGGGAGAGGAAATAGAAACGATCTGTTCACTTAAGACTTCAGTTAACCCTTCAAAAGAAACAACTGGTTATAGAGAAAGATTTTTAATAGGTTAAAAAGCTTACATAACCATGTTGAACATAATACATGCAAACATTAAATTCCGGTCACTACATGAATTGTCTTCTCTGTGTGGAAACACCTTGCCCCTCCCACCCCCAGCCCTGCCAATCTGGTACACAACAGTCTGAGCACCATTCGTCCTTAGAAAGCTCGGACACCAGACTTTAACACAGGGCATTCCCAGAACATGTTTAAATTGGAGTTGATCTTTTAAAACTGATTTGCACATAATTTGAGAGACTGTCTATTGGCTAAAAAGAGGTAGAGCTGTGTTATAATTTCCTGAGCACAGCCTTCAATTTCTGATAAAGCTTTTGTATACATCATAGTAAATTTTCATTTTATGAAAAAATAAACTCGTGAGGTCTGCATCTTGAAGGCATATGCACAGTGTAAGCACATCTGTAAGGTTGGTGCATAGTGGACACACTCCCCCCAACACATCTAATCCCAAAGATGCCCAGAAAGGCCTGCGAGCGTGGTGCTGGCAGCCTAGGGGTAGGTGAATACGTGCAAGGCTGGGTACTGGGCCATGGGAGCGCGGGCTCTCTTGGTGGCAGGATATCTGTTCTGGGACCAGTTTGGCTTGATAGATGGAGCTGGCTTTTGGCTGGTGTTTGTGTTTCTCTTTGGAGAGCATGATAATGGAAATCCTGTCTTCTCTCTCTGTGCAAACAAGATATCAAAGTTGAATTCACTTTATGTTGCAATTTCTAAAGTTATAGTTGGCTTTACATGGAGTTAGTAAGAAGTATTTGCATTTTCCTCACTTACCAAAGCAGTGACATTACAGGGCAAAAGGGAATCAAGCATTGTCCCAGCCCCTCAGACAAAGAAAGTTCCACAGACAATATTTTTATTGCCCTGGGAAGTTCAGGGACTATATTTTATAAGCTGTCTGGAAACATTACACAACAGAAGAGAAGAACTTGATCTCTCTAGGCGGGAGACTGCCCCACTTTTTTCAACTCTGCTTTCTGACATGCCATGGAAACTAAATGCTTCCACCTATGCCGAGGGTCACTGCAGGGGGAGGTGCAGCACACCTGTACTGGAGAAAAGTTACCCTAGAAATGTGAAGAAAATGAAGTGAAGTCATAGGTTCGGATGATATTCATCCGCTACAATGGGTTTAACTGAAACCGAGGTTACGTGTTATAGCCTATGTAGCATGTTTCAATTGTGAAATATGGTTTAGCCACCCACAGGCTTCTTTCAATGAATGCTGAATGAGGACCAAGGACAAGTCTGCCAGGACAGAAATTTGATTTGTCTTTACTTAAATCTCTTTTCCTTGCTTTCCAGCTTCTGTTATACCCTAGAGGATGAGCTCTCCTGGAAGCTTGAAGGAGGGGTCATGTCTTCCACGTTGGGTTCTCCATAAGATAGATGAGAACATCAAGCCATGGACTTGGGAAGACAACTGGGACTTCACCCTGGGAGATCTGTCCATTCTGTATCTAATATGCCTCCACTAAACCAGTGGTTCTCAATCTTTGTTCCACCGGGACACAAGAGAGCAACACTCTCCCACAGGTGTACCAGGGCTGTTTGAAACAGCTTCTGTTTCTCCATCTCTTTTTCATCCCTCTCAGAATATACAAGTGCAAGAGAGATGTCGTGTAGGGATAAATGTGGACTCATTTTAACTTACTCTTTTAAAGAAGCAAGTTATTCATAAGCCTCAGTAATGAACAATCATGTGTCCACTGGACATGAGGTACAACTGATGGCAACCTCCGCTTGCTGCTGGTATGTCCTATGGTGGAGAACTGCTACATTATTCACTATGGCTATTTCACCTGAAATCTTACCACTGAGTTACAAAGTAATGGCTACCTAACAAATGTGTGTGGAAATAAAATTCCGTTCTCCATGGCAAGCTTTTACCATGAATGGGCATCCTCTGGTCCTGCAGGACCTTGGGGGCTATGTGTGTGGGTACGAACTACTTAGATCTTTGCCTGAGCCGAACAGATTCAAGAAACTGAGGATTGCGGGTCACCACCCTCCAAATCATGCAACACATTTGAAAACCAAATAAAACTAATTTCAGATACATATATACATATATATTAAGAGAAATACCTGCATTCTCTCTTTATTCTTAGTCACAATCAAGGCAGTCATTTTTGATGGGTCCAAGGAGGTACCTTTGTCTCTTCCATTTAACTGTGACTAAAATAAATGAATACATTCTCACTAAATGTTCCATTTGGACAAGTGATTATAGAGCACTCACGTCACTTGAGTGTCTGTTGCTCATACATGTCAGTGTATTGTGGTCTCTAACACACACAGAGAGGCAGGTCACAAATGAATCCTAATTCAAAGAAAAGAAGAAAACTAGCATACCCTAAGTGCCGCCACATGCCAGGCACCTCACAACTTCATCCACTTCTCCCAACAACCTAATGATATAGATATAATCACCCCAATATTCAGATACAGAAAGACAGTCCCAGAGTGGTTAAGTAACTCACAGGAGATTACAAAGTAAAGCTAGATTTGAATTCAAGACAGACTTTAAAGCCTGTGCCCATCCCATAATCACTAACCCCAAACAGAGATGGGCATGCTCTGTGGGGATTCCGTGATATAATCAGTGGGACCCCATTATATTGCTGTTAGCCACTGGGTAGCTTTCACTACAGGATAGCACGCCACATGAGGAGAGCTCAGTTTGCACCCTATCCACTAAGAATCAGCTACCATTGTACCAAAACTTATTTTCACAAATAAAAGAATCAAGGCTTTTAAAGCCACAAAACTCCAATGTGCTAAAAGTTGGTTGGATACTTCTGTGGTGTTCCCATTGCATCCTACTCTGTGAGGTAATTCCCTGCTTACCTGTGAAAATCCCCACTGGGCTCTAAGGTCCCTGAGGCAGGGCTAGGGCTCTGTTCAATGACAGTGCTGCACTCCCTCCTCCACAAGAGGGCCTGGCATGTGGGAGTTACACAATATAATTTGGTTGGCTAGATGGGGGGTGAGGTGGCCTGTTGTTCTGAGTATAAAATAACAAATCACCAATAGTTGACATAAGATTTCAGTGGTGTCTAATCCAGAGCAGTGCCAGTGTCTTCTCTAATTTTATTTTTTTAAGATTTATTTATTTATGCATATAAGAGCTGGGGTACAGGCCAGAGATGTGGGGGTAGGGTAGTGAGAGGATCCACCAGAGACAGAGTGGGGAGCAGAACAAGCAGACTGACTGAAATACAATGCTGAGGGGAGCAGTGGGCGAGGCAGGAGAGGTCTGCTGTATCATGTGGGTTTCTCCCTGGCTGGCCAAGGATCCAACTCGTGCTGCAGAGGCTGCGGATTGCTTCATAGTGCAGTTCTTAACCCCTTGCGCCACCAGGGAGGCCCAATCTCCTCTAATTTTAATGTCCCCCACTCCCTGTGGCACTGATTAATTCAGATGACATAGCTGGCTGTTGCACTTTTCACCCAGTTGGGAGAGAAGTGCTAAGTGGAAAAGTCAGTGAATCTGTGTGACAGTGAAGGGTGCAGCAGAATCAAGAGCTCTGAAATAAACCTGCACATATATGGTCAATTAGTTTTCTACTAAGGAGCCAAGAATATATGATGGGGGGAAAGTTAGTCCCTTCAGCTAACGGTGTTGGGAAAACTGGATTCCACATGCAAAAGAATGATATTGCACCTCCATTTTGTATCACACATGAGTCATACATAATGCCTTTCAAAATTTACAGACCTGACACCATGAAACATAGGTGGCAAACTCTTTGACATTGGTCTTGGCAATGACTTTTTGAATTTGATGTCAAAAGCAACAAAAGTAAAAATAAACAAGTGGCACTACATTAGACTTAAAAGTTTCTGCACAGCAAAGGAAACCACCAACACCTATGGAATGGGAGGAAGCATTTGCAAACAACACTGTATGAAGCCTTAAGAAAGAAGGACAGGGCCTCCCCTGGTGGTGCAGCGGAAGCTGCCCACAGCCTCTGCAGCGCCGGTTTGATCCCCGGCCACAGGTGAGGGTCCCACATGGCATGACAGACCTCTCCTGTCTCGCTCGCTGCTCCCTTCAGCAATGTGTTTTGTCAGTCTGCCTGTTCTGTTCCCCACTCTATCTCTGGTGAAGCCTCTCACCCTCCTGCACATCTGGCTTGTACCCCGGTTCTTGTATAAAAAAAATAAATAAATCTTTAAAAAAAAAAAAAGAAAGAAGTACATCTTGTCACTTGTGACAATGTGGATGAACCTAGAGGACATCATACTAAGTGATGTAGCCAGATGGAGAAAAACCTAGACTGCCTGGTATCACTTATCTGTGGAACCTGAAGCAGAGAATAGAATGGTGGCCACTAGAGGCTAGGAGGTGAGAGAAGAAGGGAGAGAATGGGTAAAGGATACCAACTCTTAGCTATAAGATGAATAAGGTGTGGGAATCAAATGTCTGACATGGCACCTGTAGCTGATAATACTGTGCTGTATGATTAAACTTTGCTAATTGAGTGGAACTTAAGTGTTCTCACCAAAAGGGAAAAAAAATAGGTACATAGGTGAGGTAATGGATGTGTTAATTCAAGGCCAGGAATCCTTCCAAATATGTATGTATATCAAATTATCACCTGGTATATTGAATTCTAGTATAAAAAATTTAATCATCTTTTCATGAATGAGTAAAAAAAGTCAAAGCAAAAATACTACCTCATTCAATCTTGGTCTTTCACTTTTCACTGTTGATGAACTGGTATTCTCTGAATTTCTGAAAAATGTAGGCTGCTTTTGCAGAGTAGAAGCAAACCCTGCCCTTTCCTAGAAGGATTGAGTGCAAAGAGAATATTTTTCAATTGATCCACTGCTGTCAATCTACTCACAATTGACCCACTTTACCCAACAGTAAAACTCCCAGGCCTGAAAGCACTTTCATCTTAAGAAAGCAGGGCGATGGCATGGGTGTGGCAGCTGGGAGGAAGATTGGAAAGGAGCACCCAGATGTTCTCAGCCTGGACTGGGCCTTATCGCTCCTCTCTGGACTAGCTTTCCACAATCACCCTCTCCTTTGGGAAATCCACACTCAGGGAAAGTCAGACTTGGCATGCCGGAATGTGCTAGAGGACCAGCAGGCCAAAGCTGCAATCTGCTCAGAGGTGTCCAGAGTACCCGTGGACAGGGAAACCAAAGCAGAAAGAAGTTCAGTCCCCACTCCCTTTCTGGTTTAGAGTAAACTGTAGCCTCTTGTCCCGCTCCATCTATGGAATAATCTCTAAGTAGACAGAAGCAGGCAGCAGAGCTTTCTTACCGGGGCATCTTCCGTTAACTTTAACTTCGGCATCAAATTATTTTTCTGATACTGTTTATTGCGTTGTTTCCTAGTCTGAAGTGGCTTCTTTTTTTTCTTCTTGTACAACTTCTTCTCCTGATTCAACTATTCCAGAAAGAACAGAAAAACTAGTCACTGAGGAGCCCGGAGGCACCCCTGTGAAGAGGTGGTGCTCCCTTCACACCACACGCAAGGCACAAGGACTGACCCAGTGTGCAGGCCTCACAGTGCTGAACTGCTTTTGGTTGGGAGAACAAAGAGTTCAGTGAGCTCTTTACTGGAGGTCACTTCCCATTCAATACCCCTCAAAGCCCACCATTACAGACACACTGCCAAAGGAGTTCCTGTCCTAATAAGCAAATATCTGTGATTTGCAAGATGAAACCAGCCCACTTGTGGCCAGAATGTCAGGTAGACAGTGCTGTCCATTAGAAGTGTGGTTTGATTGTTATCACAGGTCACTATGATGATTAAGGTCTATCTGGCTGGCTTCCTCCTAGACACGGACTTAATCTCATGCCATGAAAGAGATACTTCTCAGTGCAACCAGGAAATTGTGTGTGTTATAAACCACAACAAATACCTTGTTACCAATGCTCTTACAACATCTGGGTAAGAAAAAGTATATGAATAGATGGAGCAAAAAGATGACTTATTGGGCCTCCCCGGTGGCGCAGCGGTTGAGCGCTGGGTTGTGAAGCTGCCCGCAGCCTCTGCGGCGCCGGTTCGATCCCCGGCTGCTCCCCGGCCACCAGAGGAGGGTCCCACATGGCGCGCAGACCTCTCCTGCCGCCCGCTGCTCCCCTCAGCAGTGTACTTCGGTCCTTCTGCCTGCTCTGCTCCCTGCTCTGGCTCTGGTGAATTCTCTCACCCTCCCGCGCTTCTGACTGTACCCAGTGCATGTATAAACAAAACAAACAAACAAACAAACAAATAAATAAATAAATAACATGCCTCTATAAAAAAAAAAAAAGATGACTTATTATGAAAGTATAAAAAAACTGGACTACACGAAAAAAACAATTAAAAAATGATGCAACATTTTTATTACTTAACATGGATTTCACTTATAGTTGAACTTTCTTTTCTCACTTTTAGTTAACTTTGGAATTAATCTGGAGTCCCTCCTCCCCCACCACCCCAATTTTAAAAACAAAGTTATCAAGGACAAAATGAAAGAATCCAGGGAGGTTAACCAGTAAGGACATTATTGCTATATTTTCTGCAGATTTTAGAATAATTGGAAAAGTCCATCAAATTATTCATTTGCTATTTCCTGGGTGCAAGAGTCTACACAACCTCACCTCATCAGCTATGTTCAGTAGGTGAATAGGGAGGCCATCTGAGAGGGAGCTGTCAGAACCACTGGTGCTGTTTTCAAAAGGAGAGAAGAGATCACCTGTTATTAATGTCTAGGAAGTGTGACAGTTCCCAGACCAGCACATGGGATTAAGTTATCTGGTCTACCTTCATTGTTTCAGTTATTGTTTCAGTTACTAAGAGTTCCTGACAAGCATATTCATGCATTTATTCTGGACATCTACAGCATGTCGGTAGTGCATTAGTCACAGGAAACAGATATGAATGTGGCAGAGTCCCTGTCCTCAAGGAGTGTGCAATCTATGTGCCAAAATAAACACCGGGCAGAGGGGCAAAGCTGTGTTGGCAATGATGGCACGAGGTTGTAGGATTCTTAATATGCAGCCCCAGAGATACCAGGGTTTGTTGGGGAGCAGGAGCTTTGTCTCATGCATTGCTGTCTGGCCAGTTGGACTAATTCAGAGAGCAAGGATCCTTCCAGGTATGCTTTGAAAAAGTGTTGAAAAAAATAAATTTAATAACTATGAATCTATCGGGCAGAGGCTAGCAATATTAGTTTTTTTCACCCCAATTCTCCCAAAGTTTTGGATGCACATCTAGACTGATCTAAAGTCTTGCCCCACAAATGTCCCTGCTCAATCTCTCTTTCTTCAAGGACTAGGGTGAATTAGGACTTAAGAGAATTAGTCCCTTCCCCTTTCATCATATCCTCTGCTTAAGTGTCACATTGCATTTTCTCCCTTCTTGGAGCACGGCTGGCTGGAACTGAGAGCTGTGCTCCAAGAAAGGACCTCCATATGTAAAAACCTTTTAGGCATAAAACTCAAGTGTCCTGTGAATGACAAAATATCTTTTTCCCAAGTTTTTTGTTCTTTCACCTCCCCCACCTCCAGCACTAGAGGAGCTCCACAATAAGACAGCAGGAGGCCAGCCCTATCTTCTCTAACTCCCCATTCCCTGTTCTCACAAGGCTGTTCCAGCCTGAGGAGTTTTTGAGGTCGCTGGATAACAGCCTCTGATATCCCTTTCAGAGATAACAGAAATTTGAACAAACTGGACAAAAGCATTCGGTGCAGTATGCCCCAGGAGATGTTGAAAGCGACGTGCACACACAGACAGCAAACTCGCACTGGGCTTGTGCACTCAGGGTCTGCTTTCCTATGTGATGGTGAGAGCAGACAGGTGGACCCCTGGGGAGGCTCATGGAGGCTTGATGAGCAGCGGGCAAACTGGTATCAATAATTCCTAATTAAATGCACCAGTGGATTGCTCTCCAGACTCTCACTGTTTGATTCCCTTGGGATCTATACATCTGAGTTGACATGCAGGGTGCGCCCAGTTTTGAGGCTGAGACGGGAGGTTGGTACAGTCGTCTGGAAAGTTCAGCAAAGAGTTCCGGGAGAGTGAAAGGGGTAACATGGTGAACAGGGCACCCTGCTTGGCCTGGTTTAAGGTTCCCAAGGAGACATTTGGGAGACTCAACTAGTAGAGCTGCTTTAGTGCTAGGGTGTTTATGTACCTGAGACTGGGTGGGAGAACTGTCCTCTCCCCACTGTCCACTATGGACCACAGTGCAGCCTCTGGCAGAAGACTTCCAGGCCAGCCAAGAAACTTTCTGACTAAGGGCAGCTGGGACAGGTTTGAGGCACTTTGGCCAATGAGCTGGAGTAGGTGTTCTTGCACCTGTGGGATGCCCACCTTCCTGGGGGCTTCCTGATATAGTTGTGGAGACTATGAGGGTGGAGCTGAAATCTTGTGTACTAAGTGAATTCAGCAAATATTTATTGAGCTCTCCCTTTGTGCCAGGTATTGTTTTGGGTATATGAGATACAGAAGTGAACAAAATAAAGATGTCTGACCTTGTGGAAACTATACTCTAGTAGGGGGAGACTGACAATGAGAAATATACACCATAAAGACACAACTGATATAAGATCACAGAAGGTGATAAAATGCTACTGTGAAAAGCAGAGCATCTGAGCAGGATAGGGACTGGCAGGAGGGTGAAGGGAAGGAGCAAGCTGCTGTATTAGAGCACAGAGGGTAGGCCATGTTAAAGTTGGTATTTAAGCAAAATCTTGAAGGAAAAGGACTCACTCATGCAAGTATTTGGGGGAAGAGCATTCCAGGCAGCTAGAACTGCTACTGCAAAGGTCCTGGGCAGGTGAGGCAAGTCTGAGGAAGCGTGAGGTCAGTGTGGGTGCAGCAGTGTGTGAGAGGGTGAGGGTAGAGGCCTAGAAGTATCAGTGGCTAGACCCCAGGCCACCATAGGGTCTTAGGCATTTTTTATGAGTGTACACCAGAAGAAGGACATGATCTGATCTCCCTTTGAAAAAGAATCCCCCCTCCTGCCTTTTGTTTGGCTTCATGGTCCCTTCTTAGTCTCATTTGTTGCTTCATCTCCTGCCCACCTCTCTGTCCTCCTAATTCGTGGTAGCCAGTTCAAACTTGGCCTTCATTCTCGCTGCGCTTTCTCCCTTGGGATCTCCTCCAGTCTTAAGGTTGAAATATCATCTCTGCAACCGGAGGAGGGTCCCGCATGGCGCGCAGACCTCTCCTGCCGCCGGCTGCTCTGCCTGCTCTGCTCCCCGCTCTGGCTCTGGTGAATCCTCTCACCCTCCCGTGCTTCTGACTGTACCCAGTGCTTGTATAAATGAATAAATAAATAAGATTAAAAAAAAAGAAAAAAGAAATATCATCTCTGCAGTGATGGCTCTTTCCAGTGGGGGTCTCCACTGGACCCCCGACTCACTATCCACTGTCTCTTCAGTATGTCCCCTTAGACGTCTACTAAACATCTCAGCCTAGTATGCATCCAACCAAGTCACTTTCCCAACCACTCCCCCTCCTCTGCTCGAAGCCACCCTCACCTTTCATTAGGATCATTGCTGGTGCCCCAATGAGTCTCCCTGCTTAAACCTTTCCTCTTTACAATCAGCTTTTTTTTAAAAAGGAACCAGTGTTCCTGCTGAAACTAGAACCATGAAGCTTCTCTACCTAAAAACTTTCAGGGCCTTCTTGATGGCACAAGGGGTTAAGCACAACACTATGAAGAAATCTGCAGCCTCTGCAGCATGAATTCAATCCCTGGCCAGCCAGGCAGCTACCCACATGGCGCAGCAGACCTCTCCTGTCTCGCCCACTCCTCCCCTCAGCAGTGTATTTCAGTCAGTCTGCCTGTTCTGTTCCCCACTCTGTCTCTGGTGAATCCTCTCACCCCCCACATCTTTGGCTTGTACCCCAGCTCTTGTATGCACAAATACATAAATCTTTAAAAAAAAGGAAAAAAAAGAAAAAAAAAAACCTTTCAAAAGCTTGAAACCTTTCACCTTCCTTGGAGTAAAAGACAAAGGTTTTACAATTGCCTCAAGGCCTCACATGAGCTGCTCACCCCGCTCCCTAGCCCTTTTTATTCCCTAGAAAAGAGGCTGTCAGAGAATGGACATTCAGCACATACTTGCTGGAGGAAAGAAAGGTACTTAAATGTGTAATAAATTGAGGGGTATGATTTAATATTTTGTACCTGAGATCTAAAACAAACCCAAAACCAATAAAAATAAAGAGCAAGTAAAACTATATATATATATATATATATATATATGTAATTTTTTTTAAAGATTTATTTATTTTTATACAAGAGCTGGGGTATAGGCCAGAGGCACAGGAGGGTGAGAGTTTTCACCAGAGAGAGAACGGGGAGCAGAACAGGCAGACGACAGAAATACACTGCTGAGGGGAACAGCGGGCGCGACAGGAGAGGTCTGCCACGCCATGTGGGAATCTCCCTGGCTGGCCAGGAATTGAACCCGCCCTGCAGAGGCGGCAGACAGCTTCACAGCGCTGCGCTCAACCCACTGCGCCACAGGGGAGGTCCCTATATATGTAGTAGTCTATGTAATATATATTTAGTTTTGCTTGCTCCTTATATATGTATAATATAAATATATATATATATATTTAAGAATTGAACTTCTCTGATTTTTCTTTGAAATGAAGTCTGTTACCTGGATTCAATATCAGACAAAGAGATATCACTCCAACTTCCTTCTAAATCCATATCTTGTCCAAGTTCACTGAATTTCTTATGGATTTCCTGTTGTAAGAGCTCATTGAGCTCTGCTAGACACTGCATGAACTGTGAGGTAAAAAAAAAAAAAAACACTATTTTTGATCATTCATTTATTTATTCATCTAATATTTATTAAGTGTATGCTGAAAGGATATACTTTCAGTTGATACTGTGACACACAAATGGGTAAGTTATGACCTCTGCTTTTAAGGGCATATTAATAGATAAATTATATGAGCTGTAGAAACAGAAGTGTTTTCTAAAGCACTTCAGTGTTTTAGTCACTTTTCTCTGGCTATGGCTGATAATAAACATCTTGAACTACGCAATGGTCTGATCTTTTTTTTGAGTAGTGAGGGAGAGAAAAGTTAGAATGGGGCTGTTCAGATTTTAGCTCATAGCAAAACGATTTAACTGGCCACATGTGCCTTTAAATATTTTTTATTAAACAGTTGCATCCAGGGTGGTGCATATCAAGAGTTCCCAGGGTCAACATTTATGAAGGGCAAGGAAAGAAAGAATAAGTTAGAGACCATGAGTACAGATTCCCTTTAAAAAAAAAAAAACAACTTTTTTTTCAGCTTTATTGAGGTATAAATGACAAAACCATAAGAGAGTGTGTATAATGTGATGATTTATAGAGGTATATATTGTGAAAGGATTTCCCCCATCAACTTAATTGACATGTTTATCACCTCGAATACATCTTCTTTGTGAGAACATATAAGTTCTATTCTCAGCAAATTTTGATTACATAATACAATATTAGCAATTATAGTCTCTGTGTTGTACATTAGACCCTCAGACCTTATTCATCTTATTATTTAAACTAAAATTTTATTGCGATAACTTTGGTTTACACTTTATAATATAATTTCAGTACAGCTTTGCACCCTGGCCATGTACACACCACAGCACCCACCACAAAAGGCCTGGCACCATCCCCCTCACCCAGTCCACACACTCTCACCCCCCTTCCTGTTCACCTGAGAACTGAGAGTTCATACATTTTTACCAACCTCTCCTAATTTCCCTTACCCCAGACTCCCTTTTTTTTTTAATAAATTTTTAAAAAAGAGTTATTTATTTATTTATACAAGCACTGGGTACAGTCAGAAGCGTGGGAGGGTGAGAGAATTCACCAGAGCCAGAGCAGGGAGCAGAGCAGGCAGAAGGGCCGAAGTACACTGCTGAGGGGAGCAGCGGGCGGCAGGAAAGGTGTGCGCGCCGGCGCTGCAGAGGCCGTGGGCAGCTTCGCAACCCAGCGCTCAACAGCTGCGCCACCAGGGAGGCCCCCCCAGACTCCCTTTTAAGAAGTTGAGTGATGAAGGTTAACAGACATAACCTGCTGGAGAACCAAGGGCAAAGGAAACCTTTGTGATTTTAAGATAGGGGCAGCTTGAGAAGAGTCGCAGTTGAGGGGATGCAGGAAGAAGAGGAAAACACAGAGAGGGGTCATTGATGAGGCAACCCCTTGGGGAGGCAGCAGGGGAGGACTGCGGAGCAGAGGGCAGGGTGAGATCTGGAGAGGAAGGACACTGATCATCTAAAACAGGAAGAAGCAGGGGAAGAACTGGTGCTGCCAAAAGTGAGCCCAGAAGTGAGGGACAGTGTGTGGGAAGGCAGCATGAGGCCTCTACCTTCTTGGGGAGTGATGAAGTCTTACCATTTCCTTAGAGTGCAGATCACCCACAATCCCACTGGTCTGACATCGGACCTATGTGAAACTGACCCCACTAGCTTTACTGCATTTTTCTAATCGTGGTTTTTACCTTGGTTCGGTCAGGATCGCAGAAATCCAGAAGGGTGTCACAGACGTGATAACCTAGGGACTTCAGGTCCTCAGTAGTAAAGTGAGTGTCTCTTTTATTGCCTGGAAAGAAGTCCATAAACACTACTTATTTACTCTTAATAAACAAGCGATAATCTAATTTACAACTCTCTCTTTAAAAATACTATCTCTGAATCTAGAATATTATGCTTTTGGATGGCATCTCTCTCATAGTTTTAGTATGCTTCCTAAGAATCTTTGACAATGAAAACCTTGATTACAGTCATGGAGGCGATAAGCACGAAAGTTTGTTTTTTTTTTTTTTTAAGATTTATTTATTTATGCACACAAGAGTTGGGGTACAGGCCAGAGGTGTGTGGGTAGGGGGTGAGAGAATTCACCAGAGACAGAGTGGGGAACAGAAAAGGCAGACTGACCTAAGTACACTGCTGAGGGGAGTAGTGGGGCGAGTCAGGAGAGATTTGCTGCGCCATGTGGGTTGCTCCCTGGCTGGTCCAGAATCAAACTCATGCTGCAGTGGCTGAGGATTGCTTCATAGGTTGTGTCTTAACCCCTGCACGGCCAGGGAGGCCCAGCATGAAGGTTTTACTTGATGGTGGGCACTAGGCCCAGTGCCTTCCGTGTACCATCTCATGAAGCAGTGCCAATAATCCAATTACTATTGTTATTGACAGTTAAAGGACAATACAGTCAAAGCAGCTCAGTAACCTACCCAGGTCACACAACCCATAAATTGGACTGAAAGTCAAACACTGATCTGCCTAGTTTTAGGTCCTGGACAACTGTTACATTATACTGCTCCACTGAGTATTCAATTTTCACACAGATTTTGGATAGTCATAAGGTACCGAGAGGAAAATCCTCTAGGTCAATTATCTTCCCAATATTCAACAGATTTCATCTCCTCAATGCTTTGCTTGGCTTTCCTGTGCTAGCCTAGCCTGCGATATACAAAAGGCAGCTTACCCAGCGTGGACCCGCCAAAGGTAGACTCAATGGTGTAGCTGTTTAGGATTCCCATCCGCCACATCACAACTCGTCCTGTTCCTTCTTTGCACTTTTGGACCTTAAAATTACAACTATGAAAAGAGAACTAAAGAGAAATCAAAATCCTCCGTTAATCAAAATCTGGCAAATATAAGAAGTCTAAAATTCATTAATGTGATACCCCTTGGGGTCTATATACTATTTCCTAAAGTATTCTATAAAATACTAACTCTAAGGGATGTTAATAGAGATTAAGGAAAAAGGGGTTCCGTGGTCAGGTTAGCCAGGGAGATGAAGGGTTAACAAAATTAAACAGGCTTCCTCCGCAGCCCCTCAGGGCATTCGCTATTCTGCAGTGGAGGTCCTCTAAAGAGGAAGGGAGTGTATTCTGGTTTTCAAACTTACTGGCCCAGGAGCCCTTCCATCCCTTTCCCAGTGACATCCTGCAGGAGAGGGGTGCCTAGAACACTGTTTGGGACTGCTGGCTTAATTTGGTACTCACAGTACTCGCCAAAATTTCTAAGACTTATGATCTACTTCTCCCTAACTTGGATCCACCAGGTTTACCCTCCCCATATGATGATCTGTGTTCGCCTCAGCTCTATCACTTCTGCCACACTCCCTGGTCTCTGATGACAACCTTCTCTGCTTGGAATTCAACACACTTCACTGTCTTTCATGACCCCTGAACCCTCTTCTCCTCACTTGGAGTTTATAACAAACACTTGGCACCCACTCCAGCCTTTTCTATCCTGCTCAAAATACTTTACAATTGGAAAGTATCTCACTAGCTAATGCTTTCTAAATTGTGCCTGCATAACTCGGGGTTCTACTGAGGCACCTCAGGACATTTCAATCAAGGTCTAAAGGAGACAGACTGGGTATGGGCAGGGCCCAAGTCCTCCACCCCTCTTCACTTAGTGTAGCTCTCTTTTTAGTGTTTTCAGCTACTGGGCTCTGGAAGTGAATTAATTTGAAGAAAAAGATCCCTGGCAAAAACAGACAAGACTTAAAAGAAGAAAAAGAAAAAAGGAAGGGAGGGAGGGAGGAGCAAAAGGAGGGAGAAAGAAAAACTTCCTTTTTAAAAAACATATAAAGAGTAGCAGATATAAAATATTTGTCTTACAGGGCCTCCCTGGTGGTGCAAGGGGCTAAGATGCAACCTATGAAGCTATTTGTAGCCACTGCAGCACAAATTGATCCCCAGCCAGGGAGCTACCCACATGGCTCAGCAGACCTCTCCTGACTAGCCCGCTGCTCCCCTCAGCAGTGTATGTCAGTCAATCCGCCTGTTCTGTTCCTCACTCTGTCTCTGGTGAATCCCCTCACCTCCCACACCTCTGGCCTGTACCCCAGTTCTTATATACATAAATTAAAAAAAAAATTTGTCATATATCTTTATGTGAGGAAATCTGTACTATATTTAAACACCTTTCTAATCAACCTAATTGCTCTTTCTAAAGACAGTTACATATTGTGGATCTATTAATGATGCTAGAAACTAACTTCTAAACCAATGCAGATAGTCTGTATTTGTCCAGCCATCACAGAGCTGTTACTCAGCCAACCATTAAAGACTTTTAAGTTGTTTTCATTAGCCTGTTAACATCTTACAGTTCTTTGTGATCTTGTATTACATGAACTTTTCCATGGAGGCTCATGTAACATCACTGTTTAATTTGTCCTTCAATCCCTCCCTCCATTGCCAATCATGGGATTAAAGATGATAGTTAAAGCTTCCCACTTAGAGTTTGAACTGATACCCAGGCAAAGCAGCCAGAGCAATTAAAAAAAATCATTCTTATTGAAAAATAATTTTATGCCATACAATCCACCCATTTAAATTGCACAATTCAGGCTTTATATTCTCAGAATTGTGCAACCCCCACTACAATCTAAACTTAGAGTATTTTCATCACCTGAAAAAGAAAGCCAGGTCTCCTTAGTGGTCATGCTCCACTCCACCCTCTCCCCTCAGCTCCAGGCCATCACCACACGCTTCCTCTCTCTATGGGTTGGTTTCTTTTGAACATTTCATATAATGGATCATATACCATGTGGCCTTTTGCATCTGTTCACTTACAATAATGTGTTCAAGGTCCATCCACACTCTAAAGTTTCAGTGCTTAGTTCTTTGATTGCCATATCACATTCCACTGTGTGGATATACATTTTGTTTATCTGGCCATCAGAATAGTTCTTAATCACATCTTTGTAAATTTGTGAAGGCAAGGTTGCTGGGGTTTACCCAAGATGATGAAAAGCCAGACGGAAAGGCAAATCTACTGGTACCAAAGGAAGCGTGTGTCTGCTTCTCCCTTAGTCATTGGACAGAAAATCACCACACACACTCACCTTATCTGGTGCATTTTTGCTTAACATTAAAGGGAAGACTCGTTCATGAAGCCAGTAGTTGCGATCGTTGTTATTACAACCATACAGGAAGATGTTATTCTTTCGGCTGTGGCCATGGAAGTCGCAATACAAGAGAACCTCCCGTTCTTTAAGAAGTCTGTCGAGGGGTTCAAACAACAGTCTCAATGGTCATCCAAATGCAAACAGTCACGGATCTTATGAAGTCTCTTCTTAAGTATGTCTATTGGTACCTTTTCTCCTAAGAAAGTTTTAACCCCTAATGGCTTTCAAAGGCCCCTCTCCCAATCTTTAGCCACTGCTATACACATGTCACTAGGACTCCTTGGCCCTGCTAATCAGAGGGCCTTGAAATGGAAAAGTCCTGATGGAGGAAGAGGTAGATGGACCTTGAGAAAATGAATAGAGAATATTTACTGTGAGAAAACCCTCCCTGTTGCAGACTGAGGAAAGAGGGAGAGGGGCTGCAAATGCAGGGATAAACAAGACAGAACCAAAGAAAGTCTTGCTTCCTGACTTCCCAGGGCTACTGCCTACACGGCTCCGCTCTTCTTATCTCCTGATTACCCAGAACACCTATTCAATCTTCCAAGCATTTTCACCTGATGATGATGACGACAGGATGAGGAGGGTGATGACAATTTGGGTGAAACAATGTGCTGGGTTCTATGCTAAAATAGATTAGATGATCTCATTTAAGCCTCACAGTGACCACCCAGGCAGGCATCACTACCCCCATTCTACAGATGAGAAAGTTAGTGCAGGGTTAAATCCCTTCCAAGGCCACAGAACCAGCCAGTAGCAAAATCAATCTCAAGCCCAGGCCTGACTTCCTAACATATGCTTGCAGTCATTTCGCCTACCAGCTCCACACTACTGCCACCCTCTCCACTCACAAGGTTAGTTGTGCCTTCACAGATGCTGATGTGCTGTAGGTGGTGCTATTACATCACAGCCTTCAACCGATTTTATACAGGCTTGGTAATTGCTAACCACTTTTATTATTCTTTCTTCACCAGAGGCAATATAAAACAGCAATAAGGAACTCAGACTCTGGAACCAGTGGAGCCAAAGTTCAAATATCTACTATGTATAATGTTGGACAAATTAATTAACCTTCTAGGCCTTCATTTCCTCATCATATATAAAATGGGGTTGCTGACTCTGCCTACTTCACAGGCCAATGTGAAGATTAAATGGGTCATATGTATGAAGCGCTGAAAATGCTACCTGTCCCCCCAGACAAAAGAACTAATTGTTAGGTATTATTTTTATAATAATAACTATTATTTTTATAATAATAACTCAAGGGCTCATGATAAAGATTTATGAATTCCTCTGATTTCTGGTCATTTCCACTCAGTCGTTTCACTTGTAAGTGAAATGCCTCTAACTGAAGTGTTGCGTGTCCAGTCAACCCAATGATAGGACATAATTTAAAAGTTTGAAGATGAACAGACCCAATGCTAGGACATAATTTAAAAGTTTGAAGATGGGGCCTCCCCAGTGGCGCAGTGGTTGAGCGCTGGGCTGTGAAGCTGCCTGCAGCCTCTGAAGCGCCAGTTTGATCCCCGGCGGCTGGGGAGGATCCCACATGGCGCGCAGACCTCTTCTAAAGACTTGTGTCCAAAGTTATAACTGACTTCTGCATCTGAAGAGACCTCACACCCCATCCAATAGAGCTCATAGCATTCAGAGAAAGATCGGCAGGTAAAGGGTCTCACCTTTTAATCATGTTCCTGGTGTACCAGATGCAAGGGAAAGACTCCTTCAGAATGGTCTTATAATGCCTGTTCAAGTCTCTTCCAGCCAATGAACACCGATAATTCCCCACAATCACTCCATCCGGATTTAACATGGGAACCACTTTGAAGACAAAGATATCTCTAAGGAGCTGGGCATCTGGGGAGTTGCTAAGGATGAAGTCCAAAAACCCTTTCATGACCCAGGAGCCATTACTTTCCCCCGGGTGGACTCTGGCGCTCAAGACCACAGCTTTCTTTGCAGCTGCTTCTTGGGGGGTCCGCGATGGGTTGGTGATGGTGAGCAGGTAGACAGTATTTCCTGCTAGGCTCCTACATAGAGTTCGAAGTTTGCAGAACTGAGACTGAACAGGGTTGTTTGCCACTGACAGGAGGTAGCATTGCAAGTCAGTGTATGTGTAAGGGTAGAAATGTGCAAAGTAGCAAGTGTCCTGGTCATGTGGGAACTGAATGGTCCATGTGAGACAGTAAAAGGGCTGCTGCCCATCATCCATGTGGTTCTTATAGTACTTGATCTCACTTCCTGCTCTCCTCCAGCCAATGCCGCGGGCTTTCGCATCCAGTTGGGAGTACATGAGTGGTTTCATCCCTACAGTGTACAGGCTCTTGGGTTTTAGCAAATTGATAATGGTGAAGCGATAGGTGATATCTTTTCTGGTGTTCTGAACTCGAAAATAAAACCACTGAGTGTGTTTATTTGTGTAGAGGTCAGTTCGCAAAGTGAGTTCATATTCATAGGTGTCTCTGGAATGGAGAAAATAGAAGATATCTCTGTAACTCCACAAGCCCCCTCAAAAAACAAATCTGGGAAAATAGCTATCCCCTTGTGAAAACAGAACTTATTAGCACAAAAAGTCTGCTATATCAAACAGATTTCTAATTTCCCTAGTTCTCCAACTCATATTATCAGGTTAACAGGAACTGGGGGCAGGAGAGATTATTAGGGGTTGGACAGGGAGAGTCTCAAAACCCACACTGCTGCACAGGATGTTTGGGAGCCCTGGAGCTTTCTGGTCTCTTTCTAGAGTAGCGGTTCCAACCACTTCAATCAATATATTTCCCTATGACACGCTGAATAGCAGTGAAGCCAGAGCTCTCTGTGGGCTCCCACTACATCCTGGACATCACCAGTATGCAGGAGACCCTTAGGGCTTCTATGCTATTTTAATCTCTGGGCATTAATTGTTTGAAGATGAGGGGGCATCTCTGGAATGTACTTGTCTTGTTGAAAAGCAGGACTAACTTGCAGAAGTGGAAACAGAAATGCCAAGAAAAAAAGTGAAAGTATTCACTCACATGCATAATTAAATACATTCCAAGTAAAGTATCATTTCCTTCCATCTCATCCATATTCCAATGCCAGGAAACAGGCACTTTTAGACACTGTTATGGGAGTTGGAAATCACACTGGAGGGCAGTTTGACAATAACAATACTTAAAATGTTCAAATGCTTTGCCCCAACAATGTCACTTCCAGAACTTAGCCCATAAAACCACAAATACTTAAAAATATAAATCCATATGGGTGTTAATTCCATTAACTCAAACAAACAATTGTAAACATCTGAATTTTTCATCAGCTGGGGACAGGTTAAATAAGATATGGAATTATCCATACAAAGGAAATATACACTATGAGAAATAAGGGTATAAATCTGTGGTACTGCCGGGCCTCCCCGGTGGCGCAGCGGTTGAGCGCTGGGTTGCGAAGCTGCCCGCGGCCTCTGCGGCGCCGGTTCGATCCCCGGCTGCTCCCCGGCCACCGGAGGAGGATCCCACATGGTGCGCAGACCCAGACCTCTCCTGCCACCCGCTGCTCCCCTCAGCAGTGTACTTCGGTCCTTCTGCCTGCTCTGCTCCCCACTCTGGCTCTGGTGAATTCTCTCACCCTCCCGCGCTTCTGACTGTACCCAGTGCATGTATAAACAAAACAAACAAACAAATATAATAAATAAATAAATAAATAAATAAACATGCCTCTATAAAAAAATAAATAAATAAATAAATAAATCTGTGGTACTGCCAAAGAAAAAACACCTACTGTTTATTTATGAAATGGAAAAAAAAAATTTGCAAAGGAGTATGTATACCTTTGTCCTATTTTAAAGGGTTTATTATTTGGCTACATTACATATCTCACACACACACACACACACACACACACACACACACACACACAGAACATTTAGTACATATACACCAAACTGTTAACAACTGCTGTATCTGGGGTTATGATCAAAGGACTTCAATTTTTTCTTGTTATTTATTTTTTATTAATGCAAATTTGAAATGAGTTCAGATGAAACGATTTATATAATTTTTATTCTGGGCAACAATATAAGTCAATATTACTCCCACCAACCTTCATCATTATCAAAATCAATTCTTATCAACTCAGACTTTCAGAAACATGCCTGACTTCTGATTCCTGAAGAAACTTTTCAGTCACTTAATTATCACCCCTTTGAGAAATTCCTGTTTGCTACTCACACTCGGACAGCTTTTTGCAGATTCCCACTCTCAAACCTTGATTCAAACAGTAGAGTACTGTCTTCTGGTCCTTGCAAGGGAACAGCAAGTTCCTTGATAATTCCTCGTTTGCCCCCCACTCTGGAGTCGGTGAAATAGGCACCTTCTGTTGGTACTGCAGATAAGACAGGTAGATTTAGGCCAGGTTCCACTCAGAATCCGTTCATCCAGCAAATATTTATTGAGTATCATTAAATGTTGACGACAATTCTAAGTTAAAAACAATGAATATTTGAATTTTCAGTTGTCCCTGCTGATACTTTAAATTTTAAACAAAGCCTTCAAGGCCTTCATGTGTTTAAAACACATCCTTTGGCTGCATGGCTCCCTGTGACATCTCATTTACTGCTTATATTCCATGTAAACCCCAATTTATATGGATGTTGGCAAAAAATGATACTCTAAATGGACTATCTGAAAACATTTGCAGTCTTTTCCTACAAAAAAATTAAAAAAAAAAACAACTACTTGTTTATGAATAAAAGGATACAACAAAAAAAGAGACAATAAGCCAGATAAATTTAAATCTTCCAGATTTAAATATAACAAAAATAGAAGTTTGAGAAGAATTGGCATGGGTAAATTTGCCTATGAAGGGAACCGAAATGTCATAGTAATTAGTGAAAAGAAAGGGTTATAATTGAAATTTTATCTTTAAAATGAAGCTGAAACAGGGCCTCCCGGATGGTGCAGTGGTTGATCGCTGGGTTGCGAAGCTGCCCGCAGCCTCTGCAGCGCTGGTTCCATCCCTAGCGGCGGGGCGAGGGTCCCACATGGTGTGCAGACCTCTCCTGCCACTGCTCCCCTCAGCAGTGTACTTCATCAGTCTGCCTGTTCTACTCTCCACTCTGGCTCTGGTGAATTCTCTCACCCTCCCGTGCTTTTGACTGTACCCAGTGCTTGTATAAATAAATCTTAAAAAAAATAAAATGAAGCTGAAACAATTATGAAATTTATTTCTTGTAACAAAGTTTAGGTTACAATCATAGCCTCTTCCTAATCCTTGGAATAATAAAGAATCAATGTGTGTGTGTTTTTTTTTTTTTTTTTTGATGGGGCTGCAATTTTTCAGACAAATTCAGTAAGAGTGCCATATGGTATTTTCTGATATTTGCAAGTACTCTTGCAAAACTATTTTAGGTCTTGATAGGTTTTCCCAAGTTCTTTTTTATGTACTGCAATATGTCCAGAAGAATCTTTTGTTGATTTCCTCTGTTAACTGATTAAAAATATCTAGATTCTTATAAGTCAATGGCTTAGCAAGTGACTCAACCAATTTCTTAACATTCATTAATTTATTAAAATCTGCCTCTCTTGCAAAGATAACTTCACTTTGCAATTTCTACAGTTTCTGCATTATGTTGTCAGATGTTAACAACATCCACCCATCAGCATGTGACTGATATAAACAAAGATGCTGACCAAGGGTATGATAGATGCCAGCATTAGACAAATAGTAATTTTATGTGGGGTCCAATTTTATCAGTAGTCAGTTCATTTTTAAATATGTTCATTATCTGTGGATAATAAACGAGAGCCAAGGAGAAAACAAACATGTACAGAGTGAGTTAAAGAAGAAAACATGCACACACAGATGGAGGAGGAAGTGGTAGCAAAAGAACAGAAAATGCAATTAAAAGCTGAAGCCCTAAGTGGCTTGATCTCTTCATGAAACCCCAAAGTGCAGGCAGCCCTGCAACCAGGTCCATTAATGTAGGGATTGCAAAATCTTCTCGGGTCTCTCAGGTAACAGTGATAATTCCCCACAATCATTCTGGGAACAACTTTAAAGACAAAGATAGCTCAATGGATTGAGCTTACTCAATCCACAACATTTCTCAAAAAACAAAGCCTCTCTCCTTTCTAAAATTGTTATCATCAGAAGTATGTGGCTGCTTCAGGGCCACCAAGCTAACAAACTCCCCAAACTCTCTCTGGAGCCCCATCTTCTCATTTTCTGCTCCTTCAATCCTCTAATTGGGTGGAGTCAATTCACCTTGACGAATCTAAAGGATAAGAACAAAGCAATTGTCACAGCTACTGGACAGGTCAATTAGGACAACTCCTAACAGCTGCTGTGTTAGGACAGCTCTCAGCTCCAGGGTTTCCTCCTAAGCAGACAGATCCCTGAATAGCACCAATGAAGCAATGTAGGTTCAAGGTCATCTGGTTTTTTGAAAATAACTGCAAGCAGGTCAACATGAGGTAAAAAAGAATTTCTTGAAAGTACAGGAGTAACCTATTATTTATAACCCAAATCTACCAACTGTGAAAAGATGACATAAGGAGAGCTATTTAATTTTGGAAACCTTCTTTTATTATTATGGAATCCGCCTCTGTGACTGTCATGAAGCCCAGGCCGGGTTAACAGTGATGAGTTCTGGAGGTAACTACACCCACTCTGAACTTTCTGGGTATGACCACTTTCTTCTCTTCTCAACTAGGTCTTAATGCCTGTCTCCTACTCCTGAAGGTGCCAAGGTCATTTTAAAATGGAGTCAGAGATGCCACTGGAGAAAAATTGCTGAACAGACTGGGCCAAAAGCAATTGTTTTAAGAAACCATCAAGCAATCAACTGTTCTTTGATGTACCATCCAGATCAGGAGGACTGATGATGATGGATTTCTTGCCAGTGGATAGAATCAAGAACTAATTACGTACAGTCAAAAATGTTTAAGTTTTTTAACACAATTAACTTTTTCAAACCACTTTCCTCATCTTCCTCTTTTTCTCTCTAAAAGAACCTCTCACTTTCTCCCTTTTCAGGACATATTTTGGGTTTCTACTCAAATCTCTGCTCTCTAAGCTGCAATTCTTTGATCCCAAGTAAATATACTTTGCCTTTTTAATTGCTCCTGTATTTTAAGGTTAATCTTCTTTTGATTTCATACTTTAATGTCCCCCAAACTCCTCTTCACACATTCTGTAAGGTGAAGCTAGGTCAACTGTGAATTGCTTCCCCTCATTTTCACTTCATTGCACAAAGCTTTTTTCACCATAATATTCACATGAGGATTGCCTATTAATTCAGACAACTAGGAGCAGAGCATGTACAATTACATCACAGCTAGGCCCTCTGCTGTAGTTGGCTCCTTTTATTCTCCTAGTTGTAGGAATATAAAGATGAGCAGTTCCTCTCCCTCCTATTTCCAGCTTCTCCAAAAACCTCCCCTGATTTCACTGGTTTATTATATTCTATTTCAACTAATTAAACTTGGTACATATTCCTCCTCTAACAAAATACATAAATCTTGTTTCTGATCATTACTATCCTGCATAGATTGATTAAATTATAAGGACATTTTTCTGATTTTCTTATTTATTCAATATAACATTTCCCAATTACAGTGAACTTTTTTTTTTTTTTATGTCCTAATTAGCTCAGGCATGTGTGTGTGCAGCGAGAGAAAGGTGCTTTTTTTAAGATTTTTTTTTTTAATTTATACAATAGCTGGGGTATAGGCCAGAGGCGCGGGAGAGTGAGAGGATTCACCAGAGACAGAGAGGGGAGCAGAACAGGCAGACAGACCGAAAGCACTGCTGAGGGGAGCAGCAGGTGTGACAAGAGAGGTCTGCCGCGCCATATGGGAATCTCCCTGGCTGGCTGGGAATTGAACCCACACTGCAGAGGCTGCAGACAGCTTCATAGTGCTGTGCTCAACCCGCTGTGCCACCAGGGAGGCCCCGCTTTTTTTTTTTAAAGATTTATTTATTCATACAAGAGCTGGGGTGTAGGCCAGAGGTGCTGGGGGTGGGGTGGGGTGGTGAGAGGATCACCAGAGATAGAGTGGGCAGCAGAAGAGGCATCCACTGAAATACACTGCTGAGGGAAGCAGCGGGCGAGAGAGAAGTCTGCTGTGCCTTGTGGGTCACCTCCCTGGCTGGGAAATGAACCAGTGCTGCAGTAGCTGCCGACAGCTTCATATTGCTGAGACTTAAGCCCTTGTACCACCAGGGAGGCCCCAAGAGTCAGGTGCTTTTTGGTGATAACAAAGGATGCCCTTGCTGGCAACTTCTCTGTCTCCCCAAGTCCTTGTTATCTAATTGGTATCCCAATAATGTTAGCTCAAATTTTACTTTCCTTTAGTTGGGAATGTTTGTATATTTTTTTGGCTCATTGCTCTCTAACATTACCTTTCCTTTCTGTCCTAAGTGTTACTGTTATTATTGACTGCACAACATCCCAGCACTTGTCACTATATTTTTTCTATAAACTATTTTGGTGAATGTACAGTTGATCCATCCTTTCCATAAATATCACTCTTTATCAAGTTGAAAAAACTGTCTTCTATTCCTGGTTTTCTGAATGTTTTATTATTATGAAGATTGGATTTTGTCAAATGCAACTTTTTCTGCACCAACTGAGATAAATGTTTCTCCTTTAATATTGTTTATTACATTAATGTCCCTATATTGAGGCATTCTTGCATTTCTGTCACAAATCTCCAGTGGTATATAATCCTTGCAATATGCTGTTGAATTCAGTTTGCTGGTACTTTGTACAGGATTTTACATTTATAGTCATGAAAATATTGCTTTATAATTTTTCTTGTGATGTATTTGTCTAGCTTTGGTATCACAGCAATAAAATAGTTGATAAATGTTTCCTCTTCCTCTTGGGTGTTCATAAAGAATTGGTACTGTTTCCTCCTTAATTGTTTTTTTTTTTTTCTCTTTTTTTTTTTTTATAGAGGCATGTTTTATTTATTTATTTGTTTGTTTGTTTACACATGCACTGGGTACAGTCAGAAGCGTGGGAGGGTGAGAGAATTCACCAGAGCCAGAGCAGGGAGCAGAGCAGGCAGAAGGACCGAAGTACACTGCTGAGGGGAGCAGCGGGCGGCAGGAGAGGTCTGCGCGCCATGCGGGACCCTCCTCCAGTGGCCGGGGAGCAGCCGGGGATCGAACTGGCGCCACAGAGGCCACAGGCAGCTTTGCAACCCAGCGCTCAACCGCTGTGCCACCGGGGAGGCCCTCCTCCTTAATTGTTTGACACAATTCAAACTAATCCTGTCAAGTCATCTGGGCCAGAGATTTCTTTGCAGGAAGATTTTTAATTACTAGTTAAATTTTTTTTTGTTATAATCTATTCATACTTTTTATTTCTTCCAGAGTCAGCTTTGATAACTTGTGTTTTCTAGCAATTATTCCTGTCCACCTCTGTTGTCTAATCTGTTGGTATTACCTTGCATTTCTTTTGATTTCTGTAGAATTGAGTTTTTGTCCCCTTTCTTTCCTGATCTTGATAATCTGTGCCTTCTTTCCTTTTTTTCTTGGGTTAATCTAGCTAAAAACTTTGTTATTTTGGTTTTGTTTTCAAAGAATCAAATTTTGTTTTGATTTTTCCCTATTATTTTTGTTACCTATTTCACTGACTTCCATTCTTTACTACTTCCTTCTTCTGCTCAATTTGAATTTAGTTTTCTATGATTTTTAAAAATTTATTAACATGGAAGTTTAGGTAATTTATCTGAGATATTTTTCTTTCAAATATAGGCAGGCAAAGTCATAAATTTGCAGTGTTTTAGTTGTACCCGATACAGTGTGATATTTTGTTTTATTTTCAATCAGTTAAAAATATCTTTGAATTTTCTTTGTGATTATTATTTCTTTTTTAATAGAGGCATGTTTTATTTATTTGTTTGTTTGTTTGTTTGTTTGTTTGTTTTGTTTATACATGCACTGGGTACAGTCAGAAGCACGGGAGGGTGAGAGAATTCACCAGAGCCAGAGCGGGGAGCAGAGCAGGCAGAAGGACCGAAGTACACTGCTGAGGGGAGCAGCGGGCGGCAGGAGAGGTCTGCGTGCCATGTGGGACCCTCCTCCGGTGGCCGGGGAGCAGCCGGGGATCGAACCGGCGCCGCAGAGGCCGCGGGCAGCTTCGCAACCCAGCGCTCAACCGCTGCGCCACCGGGGAGGCCCTGTGATTATTTTCTTTTTAAAGATTTGATTGATTGATTGATTTATACCTACATACATACAAGCACTGGGTACAGTCAGAAGCACGGGAGGGTGAGAGAATTCACCAGAGCCAGAGTGGGGAACAGAACAGGCAGAAGGACCGAAGTACACTGCTGAGGGGAGCAGCGGGCGGCAGGAGAGGTCTGTGCGCCATGTGGGACACTCCTCCGGTGGCCAGGGAGCAGCTGGGGATCGAACCGGCGCTGCAGAGGCTGCGGGCAGCTTTGCAACCCAGAGCTCAACCGCTGAGCCACCGGGGAGGCCCTCTTTGTGACTATTTTAATCCTTGGGTTACATAAAAGACTGTTGTTCAGTTTCTAAATGTTTGCAGATTTCATTCTGTTGATTTCTTTCTTAATTTTGAGGTGGTCAGGGAATATATTTTATAATTTTATATGATTTCAATCCTTTAAAATCTCTTAAGACTTGCTTTACAATCAAGCATACGGTGTATTCTAGGGAGTCTACCACATGCCCTTGCAAACAATCTGTATTTGGGTGTTGGTATAGAATCAGTGCTATGTACATTTTTATAAGAGACATGGGTTCTACCCCTAGGAAACCTGTATTTTAATACAGACAATCACACAGTAAATGACAGTCAAATGCACAACCTACAAAGTACTCACTAAAGCACATATAGGTGGAGAAAAGAAAGGCAAGTTCTTCAAAGAGCCAACATATGATTTTCAGAAAGGAAAATCACAAGGGAGAAGCTATAAAATACTTAGAACCATAAAAAGAAAGTATTTTCATTTAAAAAAACAATTGAGGGCCTCCCTGGTGGCGAAAGGGGTTAAGCACAGCACTATAAAGCTATCCACAGCCACTGTAGCACAAATTCGATCCTTGGCCTGCCAGGGAGCAACCCAAATGGTGCAGCAGACCTCTCCTGTCTCGCCCGCTGCTCCCCTCAGCGGTGTATTTCAGTCAGTCTGCCTGTTCTGTTCCCCACTCTGTCTCTCGTGAATCCTCTCACCCCCCCACACCTCTGGCCTGTATCCCAGTTCTTATATGCATAAATAACTAAATAAATCTTTAAAAAATAAATAAAATAAAATAAAATGAATTGAAATTTTCAAGCTTGATGGTCATGAATACTAAGGCTCCCATTCAGGTTGATCTGGAAAAGACAGTTTATCACTAAACTATGGATTTTTTTAAAATCACATTTACTATAGAGAGTATATATATTTGTCATGATTACTCATTGTTATACTATTTGTTTAATATAGTGACAATACCTGAATCTAACTGATAGACAACTGTGCCTCTTTCTTCTCCTACAATTTCTGGTACCTTTTCATTTCCTGTAGGTTGATAAAAATATTCTGGAATAGGTGGAACCCACTCTGCAAGAAGACATAAAAAGGGAAAATAAATAATATATAAGGCACTTTATGAGGACTGATATAAAATTATAACAATAATTATTCAAATAGCTATTTTGGTTGAATCAAACCAAGTATCTACCCTAACTTTCAGTTTGTAAATTGATTATGCCTAGCTTCCTTCCATAAAGGCTACGAGGAGACATATAAAAGGCATATAAAGCAAAGTATAAACTTTAAATGGAAAAATTGAAAATAAGCCAAAAAGGTCACTATAGTTACTACAACAACCCTCACTGATCTTCCAGGCTGGGGTTAAGGGTCCCCAAAGGGACTGAGCTCTGTACAACTGCCTGGTTGTATCTTTCACTTCCCCACAGGTCTATGAGCTCTGGAGTCTATATCTTGTTCATTACTGTATGTATCTATCTATCTACCTCTCTACCTACCTCTCTATCTACCTCTCTATCTATCAATCTAGATATATACTATATCACTAAACATATTCTTAGAAAGGTACCCCTCTCCCATTACAATAAACTCAGAAACATTCTAGTGACATATTGGTGTAACTTTTGACTTCAGTGAGTGTATATCACAGTATATCACAGCTTAATCATTTCAGGCTGAGCTAACAGATGTTGAAGGTGTCCTGCCTCATACTTTGGTATGCAAGAATTAAAATGGTAAAATCTTGTGATAAAATCTGCCCAAATAGCAACCACAACATGTAAGTCACTTTACCAATATGATGAATATTTTCTTTGATGACCTCACATTCTATTGGCCATCTTGGAGCCTGCAGTGGTCCACTGCTAGAGAAAAGGGCAAAGAGATCTCGGGGTTCCCGAAGTCGTGGGTTTACTTCACCAAACTCATCATGAAGAAGCTGTCTGCTCTTAAAAAGTGGTGAACTCAGCATAAGGGAATCTGTCAGAGGGGAAGGGAATGAGAGAAAGCTTTTCTTTTCCTCCTCAGGAACTTTACTTCTCAACTCTAACAATTAAGTAACTTTAGGCAGTGCATTAAAATACAAGAAGGGATGTGTAATTCCATGATATGGGTAACTCCATGTTTCTCAAGGAGATTTAGTCCAGGATGATAGCATCAAAGTTATAAAATGTTAAATTGCACTTCTGCATAATTTATTAAACATTTAAATGTAAAGCTTTAGAGTAAGTTAGAAGAAACTTTTGTTTCTTCATTCAAAACTAGTGGGTCTAAGACACTGCAACAGTGGATTATAAAATGAATAAAAAACTGTTTTATTATTTTTGTTTAGAGAGAGGCAAGAAAGGGAACATTCAATTCCCCCTTTGCATTTCAGTAAAGAATACATAAGACTTTATTAACCACAATGAAGTCATCTACAAATGAAATTCCAAGTTCATAATATACAACCACTCAAAATACAGAGAAACTTTTAAAAGAGAACATGGAAAGCAGAAGGGCAAAGAAAGAATGAGGGGGGCAGGAGAGAGACAGAACGAGTTCTTGGGAAGTAAGAATGAGAAAAAAGGGAGAAGAAAAGCTTTCAGGGAGAAAGACGAAGAATGGAAATGAGAAGTGGGGGGGCGGGGCAGAAATGCAAGGGGGAAGAAAGGCGGAAAGGCCCCTAGTGGGTCATTCCTAGCTCTAGGCAGAGAGCAGGAAGGAGTTCATATTTTCTGGGCAGGAAGGACAAGAAGTACCTCTGCTCACAGCTTCTGTCTGTCTGTGCACAGTGGAAGAGAGACAGCTAGGCCCTGGAAAGAGCAAGGAGGATGTACAGTTTGTTGTAGGGATCTTTTTCTTTTTTCTGCTCTCTTTCCTCCATCCCTTTCTACCCCCCACTCAACCCTGCTTTGGGCCTCTGCATTTCTGTTTCTAATATTTTGCCCATTGCTCAATAGGGAATTAAAGAATAGGCAATAAATATTTGAAAAGATGATAAAGCTGCTCCACTGTAGTCATAACTGTAAGAAACGTAAGTCAAAATGACAGAGAGATACCAATTTTTTACCTAGACAGGAAAAACATTTACATGTTTTCACAGCCATCCTGGCAAATGTGCAAGCTAAAAGGTACACTCAGAACCTGCTGGTAAGAAGGCAAACTGGCCCAACCTTTCTGGAAAGCAATTGGCATTATCACGCTTAAGACTGAAAACACACATACCCTCAATTCATCAATCCCACTGCAAATAATTTACCTTATGAATTTTCTCCTTAAAGTTCATCATATTACATCTATGAGGAGACTCGCTGCATCACCGTTCAAATAAAAATCTGGTGGAAACTACCTGATCACCCATCAAAAGTTAAAATAGGGCCTCCCCGGTGGCGCAGCAGTTGAGCACTGGGTTGGATCCCCGGCTGCTCCCCGGCCACCAGAGGAGGGTCCCACATGGCGCGCAGGCCTCTCCTGCCACCCGCTGCTCCCCTCAGCAGTGTACTTCGGTCCTTCTGCCTGCTCTGCTCCCCGCTCTGGCTCTGGTGAATTCTCTCACCCTCCCGTGCTTCTGACTGTGCCCAGTGCTTGTATAAATAAATAAATAAATCTTTAAAAAACAAACAAACAAAAAAAGTTGATAAAAAAAAAATGATGACATATTAATGATATGGATACTATACACAGGTGACCTTAAAAAGAGCAAGGAAAGTTTATTTTAGTGCTCATATGAAAAGGTCCTTCTAAGGGATATTTTTAAATAAGAAAATGAAGTAGAGATTATGCATAGGATCCTTTGTGAGCAGTTAAAAAGAAAAAAATATATAAAAACTAAGGATATAGTTTTCATTTTGTACTTTTCGCCTACCACTGGAAGTTTCTAACCTTATACACATAACCCTTTGCTTTCTCTTTTAAAGAAGCATATTATAATTAATTCTTTCATACCTTTGTAAAAACCCAATATTATAAATGCTTTGCTACAAAAATAAAGAAAAATGTCTTCCTCACTCTAATAATCAAGAGAGGGGAAACAGTTATCTGATTATCAAATTATACGCCAACTAAAACTCTTTCACATCCTTGTGTTACTTCTACCAGATGGTTTTACATTTTATATTTTCCATTACACTAAGACTGCCCCTCCTCAAAAAAAAAAAAAAAAAAAAAAGACTGGCAATTGTTTCTTATTAACGGAATTTCAAGTGTTAGCAAATAGGGCAGGACAAAACTGAAGTGGCGTGTTCAGCTGGCTCCTGAGGCAACAGGCCTGATCAGTCTCCTTGGCTCAACCCTCATCTTTCCACTCCCTGAAAGGAACTCTGGGTTACAGAAACTTCTGGGCATGGGTGTGAGCAAACACATGTGACACAGATTTGAAAAAGGAATTGCAACAGTAAGAGTTAAAAGTACTGTTTCCAGAGATTGCCAAATATTGCCTTTCTGAAACAGTCTACCTATTCACATTCCTAACAGCAGGGTTCCCCCAAAATCCTGACCTAACAACAACTTTAAAACAACCTCTGGCCAGATCTCATGTTTTTAAAAATAGCACCTTGACATTTTGAGTTGTATCTTTAAATAGAAATGAAGTTGAAGATGTATTGATTGATTGATTGATTTTGAGCATCTTTTTATAAGGCTTATTAACTGTTCGTATTTGTTTTTCTATGATCTACTGTTCATGTCTTTTGCCCAATTTTCTCTTTGGTAACTCTTTAACTTATTAATTTATAAGAGCTGTTACAGGTGTTAATCCCTCGGCATGTTTGTCACACTCCCTCCCCCTTTGCTTCTTTACTTTCCTAATAGTAATTTTTTCTATGCAAAACAAATTTTTATTTGCTGTAAAATTATCGCTGTCTTATGGCTTTTGGGTCTTGTGTCATTCAAAGGTTTCAAGCAGCAAAGGGATGCAATCAGATTTACATGTACAAAAGAACACTGCTCTACGAGAAATGCACTGGGAAGGGGCAGTGAGGGGCAAGAGAAGAGGCCAGGAGACCAGTAATGAGGCTGTTTCAATAGTGAGAAATGATGGTAGCTTGAACTGGGAGAGGGGAGGAGTAGAGAAAAAAGAAGTGGAATGATGTTTGGTTGGTTAAGTACTGGGGGGAAATCCAATTGCATTCTTGCCCTTATGTTCTGGAAGAACCCTGTGTCCCTGTGAGAAATCATTTTTGCTTTTTTGCTTGTTGGAATTGGTTTCTTATACAAAGAACCTTAAATATATACATTAAAACCATGTGAAAAATCAGTGTGCTACCCTTCACTAAAGAGCCTTAATGAGGGCCTCCCCGGTGGTGCAGCGGTTGAGCGCTGGGTTGCGAAGCTGCCCACAGCCTCTGCAGCGCTGGTTCGATCCCCGGCCACCGGAGGCAGGTCCTACATGGCACGCAGACCTCTCCTGCTGCCTCTCCTGCCGCCCGCTGCTCCCCTCAGCAGTGTACTTCGGTCCTTCTGCCTACTCTGCTCCTCGCTCTGGCTCTGGTGAATTCTCTCACCCTCCCGCGCTTCTGACTGTACCCAGTGCTTGTATAAATAAATAAATAAATAAATAAATCTTAAAAAAAAAAAAAAAAAGAGCCTTAATGAATTTTCTGACAAGATGGAGGAAGGTAACCCAGAATATTTGGTATTGCAGTTTTCATTTACAATCCTAAGTAGTTTAGACAGAACAGTTTTGAGTGATGAATTCCTTGGCATGTCCCATGTTAGGCCAGCTCTCCTGAACTCACCTGCAGAAGCTGCTCAGGGCTCTGGGATCAATACACTGATTACTCACAAAGAAGCTTCTCCTTTTGCAGGGGGTCATCCCTTTCCCCGAAAGAGCCACTCAACAGGTATCCAGGACTATTCTTCCAAACGTGCTGACTCTTAGCAGAATTTGGCAAACTGCCTCTCTGTGCTAAGAGGAGGCAATTTAATTAAAGTTGCTGGGAGAATGACTCATAATCACTTCTAACATCAAGATCAACACCCAAAGTGCTACTACCCAGACTACCAGGACTTTCATCACCACCCACCACGGATGGTCTTCACAAGAAATACAACCCATTTTTCAATGAGCTTTCACATTCTCATGCATGTGAGTTAAGCATCATTTTCTAAATTTTACAGTGAGGAGACTTGAGAAGCAGCATGGTACAATGGAGAAAAAAAGAGCCTGCAAGGGAGAAAGACCTCCCAGTTATGAGAGTACCCGGGAGCGCTACGGCCAAGTGAAGGCAGGGACTCAGAGTGGGAGCCCTGGTGCCCAGGGGCCCCTGCTGAACCTGGCAAACTGTTAATTCGATTTTCAACAAATGAATAATTGCTTAAAAATGAGCAAGCTTAACAAGGTTTATAGAAATAAAATCAATATAAAAGCTTTAATTTTATTTCTAAATACCAGGAACATCAGAAAATCAAAATTTAAAAAGGGTAGTATGTGTGTATATATACACACACAGCATAAAATATGAAGTTCCATGAAAAAGTTATCTTTATTGGAAGACCGTAAAGACCTAAGTAAATGGATGATTAGACTATGTGCGCAGATGGGAAAATTCTCATTTCTAGTGAAATTTGACCTATAGATTCAATGCAATCCTGATAATCTTCAAAACACTACAATTCTGGGCCTCCCTGGTGGTGCAAGGGGTTAAGCACAGCACTATGAAGCTAACTACAGCCTCTGCAGCACGAGTTTGAGCCCCAGCAGGCCAGGGAGCTACCCACATGGTGCAGCAGACTTCTCCTGTCTCGCCCACTGCTCCCCTCAGCAGTGTATTTCAGTCAGTCTGCCTGTTCTGCTCCCCACTCTCTCTGGTAAATCCTCTCACCCCCCCCCCCCATACTTCAGGCCTGCACCGTAGTTCTTGTATGCATAAATAAATCTTTAAAAAAAACCCGAAAAAATAAAACATTACAATTCTAAAATTTTACAGAAAGGCAAGAACAGTCAAGACACTTCCAAAGAACAATATGGCGAGGACATGCCTTTCCAGATAGCAAGACTATTTTAATGCCAGATAGTGTAATTAAGAGAGAGGTACTGGAGCAAGGACAGACAAGAGGTGACACAGCAAATCAATGGTGCTGGGAACATTAGTTACTACTCTATCCAAATACAACTCTCCCAGTTAATCAAACCAATTACTTCATGAAAAGTGAAGCTAGATAAGAAATGAGGTGTTACCTTTAAAGTAGCCATAGTACTGGAGATGATGGTACATAAACTCTTCATAGGGATCAAGAAGGGTCTGTGAAAGGAAAGGCCATCTCATTAGGAAAACCCTTTTGAATGATACTGAACTCTTACAAAAGGTAGACGGGCACTGTTGCACAGGACGGGGTGCTTGAGGACTTGTAAATAAAGTAAGAGCAAGGCACTGATACAAATGATCCCATCTTGGGGATCAAGATCTCCACCTAGAAATAGGTGCCTATAGAATATACCCTCAGGGATTTCTGGGGAGATCCTGGAGAGGAGTTGGGTGTGTACCGACCTCCTGCTTTAGCTCTGGTTCCAGTGCTGGGAACATGTTACTTCTGCATGGTATGCTGAGGACCAGTCAGTGACACAGCATCCAGTCACCAGGCCTGCCCAATTTTCATACGGGCAGCTGATTACACAGGAGAAGCTAAGCAAATAGAAAACCACAACGGGACAACTGAAAAAGCCAATATTCACCCTGCCCCTTCCCCACCTCCGCGGCTCCCACACGACCACAGAATCGCGGCAGGGTCTCTCCCTCCTCCCAGCCCACCCAGCCTCTCCTCAGGTAAACAGGCGCCGGCCGGCGGTCCGCACGCTGAGGGTCGGGGCGCACCTGAGGAATCAGGCAGGGCAGCGCGTCTTCCAGCCTCCTCCCGAGGCGTCGGGACCCTTGCTGGCCTCATGCTTCCCTCTCCCCTAGAAAGGAGACGCCCGGCACCCGGACGCTTCCGTGAAGCGCAAGAAAGGAGGACGGAGCGAGCCGGCGAAGTGATCCCGACAAAGATGGATAAAAAAGGTCAGGGGCCCGGAGACTGGGCCCTGAAAACCTAATTCAGGGGCTCTGAGCTTTCGGGTCCGGAGGTGGAGAGGAGCCGGGAAGGGGGCGTACGTTTCTCTGAGCGCGGAGAGGGTGCGACCGCCCCCGCGCCCCGGCCCGGGCGGCAGAGGCGCCTGGGCGCGGCGGGAGGCCCCGGCAGGGAGGCCGTGGCGGGTAGAGGCCGGCGGCGCGCCCTACCCCTCTGCGGACGCGCTGGGCGCTCAGCCGCCGCCGCTTGCTGCGGGGCCCCCGTTGCCTAGCAACCGCGAGGCGGAAGCGGGAGGGCGGGGCGGCCGGGCACTTCCGGGAGCTGGGCCTCCCCTCCGAGGAGCGGATGGAGAACCCGGGAAAAGGCCACGGCCAGTCTTACAGATCCCGGAGATTCACCTGCATCCCTCCTTTCAGAGAGGATACCCCTGACTTCCGGGCAGTGGATACAAGGGACTGACGAATACGACGCGGGTATCCTCAGCAACTTCCAGTTCACTGTTGTTCCGTAACTTACTTTTTAGGTCATTCTTAGATACCGCTTAAAGGGAGCTACGCCCCCTTCTTTCATCTTATATTCACTCCACCCTATAGCTACCATCTAGAAATTATGTTGTACACTAGGAAAAGGAACTAAATTAGATTTAAACATACACACTATCGGGGCTCCCTGGTGGAGCCTATCACCCGCGACGGTCCACCGATCCCTGGCCAGAGCTAACCCACATGGCGCGGCAGACCTCTACTGTCTGGCCCGCTGCTCTGGTGAATTCCCCCCACAACCTCTGGCCTACACCCCATTTCTTCTAAGCATAGATCTTAAAAAACAAAACAAAAACACAAACTGGCAGATTTTAAGAAATGCTCCATTCTGGTAGGACATTGACAAAGGCTCTGGTGCTCTACAGGGATTCCTACAAGTCTGGAAAACTGTCAGGTGGCTAAAGCAAAAGTTGAATGGTTAGTTGATAGTCTGTATTTCCAGAAAGTTACTCAACAAAAATTTACAAAAACCATATACAAAAAATGACCATCCCAATACAGTTCACAGTAAATAAAATTCAATACACTATATATGAAAGATTAGGTTAAATGTAACTGTTCTTTGGTTAACTTTATATGGATAGAACTACTTACAATCTGGGGGTAAACTATAGAGCACCTTAATTTTCTTCTAAATGTTAACCACATCTTTTCCAGGACTTAAGCAGGTCAAACACTGGCTAACATTACTGAGTACAAGCTCCAAAATCAGTCACATAGCACCCTCTGGTGCCAGAAGCCTATTGTCCTAGTACCCCTCCTCCTCAATCCTGCTGCTCTTTTCCCAGAGCTGGGTCTGCATTAATGGCACATACCTTACACCATATTTGATCAGAAAGAACAATGAAGAATTGACTTAAAAATCAAGTCTTTGCTACATAATCAGAGTAACAGGTGTGAAAAGCAAAAGGATAACTAATCAGAAGTATAAAAAAAGCTTTATTAGTGCATATGTACAAATTTACAAGGTCAGAAACTGGAGAAATACAAACAGCTTTAAAACACAATTTGCTTTTTCTTCAGTTTAAAGTGACTTTTACCTGATTGTGATACAATAGAAAGTACAGAAAGTAAACTGCAATTTTTAAATATGGAATTTTATGGAGGATACATTCATACATAAATGGGAATTTTGGAATAGGGTAAGACAATGGAGACATATCAATACATACAGTGGCTATTGTTACATTTGCTGCCACTTATGTGAGGGGAATATTCTCAAGACATGAAAACCTGCTGCTGCCTGTACTGAAATTTAACTATGCCACCCAGTGTGTAAAATGCAGAGCTATCCAATTGTAGAATTTACCAGAGAAAGAATAAAGAATGTTGCTCTCTGTCAGCACAAGGGACAACTTGACATACCTCAGCACTTCAGGGGTGACACACTAGAGGAAGAGGTCAGAAAGAGATCCTTATTATCCTAGTTAAGCAAGGTAAAATACAGAGCTGCCTTCTTAATTGCACTTGTTCTGGAGCAGTAGTTAAGGAGAGGGTCAGATCAGGAACTAAATGAGCTTCTACCAGGCAGGAAAATCCTTCCCTTTTTGTGAGTTCTCTATAGAATGGTCACATGTTCCAGACTGCTGAGGTTAATGTACCTAACATGCTTAGTTTGCCAATGTGAGACTAAAGGCAGTCAGGTCAAAGTATTTAATCACCTCACTCCTTCAGGAAAACAGAAAAATTACATTTCACAAATGTGAAAATTCTGTACGTGTATGCTCTTACCAGGAAATTCATATACTCTCCCTCATAACATTTATACTTTATTGACAACAGTAAAACTGGTTAAGACTTTGAACTAAACAAAATTAATAAAATTTTTTTTCTTTTTAAACTACGTGTTTGGAGTCATTTTCCTCCTTTTCAGTCTTGCTCGCCAGTCCTCAGGAAGAGCTTCAAAATTAGCATTTCTTTCTGCCATGCCGCTGTAAAAACATACAGATATTGGAAAGAAAGTAATGAGAATATTTATCAAAACCTCTTAACTGTAACTCAAAATTTGATCCAGCACCTGTATCTTCATGAAAGTGTTCACATTTCCCAGCAAAGTACCACCATATTCTTTAAATTTCTTTCTTTATGCACACAAGAAATGGGGCATAAGTCAGAGGTGCAGGGGTGAGAGGATTCACCAGAGAGAGGGGAACAGAACAGGCTGATCTACTGAAATACACTGCTGAGGGGAGAAGGGGGTGAGACAGGAGAGGTCTGCTGCGCCATGTGGGTTAACTCCCTGGCTGCTGGGGACAGAACTCAGCAGCTGGCGATAGCTTGATAGTGTTGTCTTTAACCCCTGTGCCACCAGGGAGGCCATCTTTAAATTTCTTTGAAATGGCACATATACTCTTCTCTAGTTTTATAGCTATATAAAAGCATATTTACTAATATCTCTAGTGACCATTAGTCACATTAAAAGAATCAAACATGTTCCTGCATAGGAATTATGATTCTTAACATTTAACATCCTTTTAAAAAAAAAAATTTATGCATACAAGAACTGGGATACAACTGAGGCCAGAAGTGCCGAGGGTGAGAGGATTCACCAGAGACAGAATGGGAAACTGAAGGACCAACTGAAATACACTGCTGAGAGGAGCAGCGGGCAAGCCAGGAGAGGTCTGCTGTGTCATGTGGGTAGCTCCCTGCCCAGGGCTCGAACTCGTGCTGCAGTGGCTGTGGATTGCTTCACAGGTTGCATCTTAACCCCTTGCACGACCTGGGAGGCCAACATATAACATTCCTAACATTTAACCCTCAATATAACATCAGGCTGGACCATCAAACCTACAAGAGTTTCTCTTTTGATCAGTTCTAACTATTCCTAAGGCTAGCATTTCATGGAACTGTAAATAAAAAGAAATACAGTAACAAAAAAAGGGAACACCTTCGTTTGCAGTAAGACCCCTAACCCTAAACCCTAACCCTAGTCTACCGAATTTTCCTAGAAAGACACGTGATCATAATCTTTTGTGTTTTATGATGCTATCTGCTAAACTTATTTGCTAGGATTTTAAGTGAATAAATGCTGAAAACAGATATACAGTAATTAGAGAAATAAATACTGTAGGAACAAAAACATGCATTGGAAAAACCATTCCAATTTGTTTCTATCTAAAAATAAAACTTTCAAATTGTGAAACAAAGATGGCTATTCTTTCCCAATGTTTTCTTAAGTATTGCATTTATGGACGTTGCAAATTTAAGACTCAAAAGTAGTAAAACAGAACCTATAAGAGATGAATTTGAAATTTGGCATCACTACTTGTATGTTCCAGGTTATGAGTGACAAATATTACATCACATTCAAACTGTGGCTCATTTTTCTATGTATACTTTCAAAACCAGGAAAATAAGTTTTGAGGTCAGCTATTTTTTATTAAAGTTTCTAGTCAAGTCCTTCCCTCTTCCCTTTATTTTTTACTTTTATAAATTTTTGAAAAAAAACAAACAAAAAAAACAAAAAAAAAAAAAACCATAGGGCCTCCTAGTGGCGCAAGGGTTAAAGTCTCAGCACTATCAAGCTATCAACCAAGGCCTGAATTTGATCCCCAGTCAGGGAGCTCAGAACTCTCCTGTCTCACCTGCTGCTCCCCTCAGCAGTGTATTTCAGTTAGCCTGCCTGTTCTGTTCCCCACTCTGATGAATCCTCTCACCCTCCTGCGCATCTGGCTGTACTGTGGTTCTTGTATAAAAATAAATAATAAAAATAAATCTTCAAAAAAACCAAAGGGCCTCCCCGGTGGCACAGCGGTTGAGCGCTGGGTTGCGAAGCTGCCCGCAGCCTCTGCAGTGCCGGTTCGATCCCCGGCTGCTCCCCGGCAACCCAAAGAGGGTCCCACATGGCGTGCAGACCTCTCCTGCCGCCCACTGCTCCCCTCAGCAGTGTACTTCGGTCCTTCTGCCTGTTCTGCTCCCCACTCTAGCTCTGGTGAATTCTCTCACCCTCCCACACTTCTGACTGTACCCAGTGCATGTATAAACAAACAAACAAACAAATAAATAAAAAAAAAAAAACAAAAAACAAAACCAAAAAAAGGTCTATTGGATGTAAATGATAAAACATTTTTCCTGGTATGATGGGGATGAACACATTCCTTTGCCTATAGGAAGACAAAGTATTACAACTGTGTTATTTCTCAGTTTGAAAAAAGTTTACATCATGAACTTTATAGGGATATAGACATTATATTTATGAATTAAAAGCTGGTTTAGGTAGGTTTATAATGTATACCAAAAATTAAGGGCTGTGATTTTAAGACTAAAACAACCACAACCCATCCCATCCATGGTCTCATCTCTTTTTTACCTGACTAGCTGCTGCTGTTTCCACTCTTCAATTCGCTTCTGTGCAGTTGACTCCCGATCCTCCTCGCTGGAGCTAGAGTTCTCCTCTTCATCTAACTCACGCTGGATACTCTGCCACTTCTTTACCAGAGAGGGCATTTTGGTTTTACTCTTCTTCGTCTGTAACAAAGAAATGATAGGATATAGGGTCTCCCTGGTGGCCAGGGGGTTAAGTCTGGGTGCTATTGCCACTATGGCCTGAGTTCAATCCCTGGCCAGGGAGGAGACCCACATAGCTCAGC